AGATCACTACTCCTTTTATCCAAAACAAAATAACAATAAATTATTTTTCTGTTTGTGAAAATTCCAACAAAACCGAGACAAATACAAACCACACAATGCACAGATGATCTGTTGACACCCAGGCTTTAGGCACTGACATGGTCTGCAATAAACACCACAAAGCTTTAGTGATACAAACTTCATTTCTCACACAGAATGCATCACCTTGTGCTGCATTATAAATGATTTGGTAATTTAATTTTTTTTTTTTTTTTGCACTGCCAACCTGTGTCTGTATGCTAATGCAGTGAAATAAAATAATATAACGAAGAAAAAAGAAACAAATATTTATAACAAGATAATAAAAGAACAAAGAACCTATAATAATTACATGCAAAAAAATGTGCCAAAGCATATCTAACAACAAAAATGTCATTCCTTTCAATCAAAGGAATTAAATTTCTAAAAGCACCTCAAACGTAAAATACCATCTCACTTCTGACAAAACAATGAGGTTTTCTTACCTGGGAACTGATGCTCCTTTCCTCTGGAATAATCTGCAAAAATAGGAAAATCAAATATTTTAATTATGTCTATTATAAACAAATTACAAATCAATTACAAATGCTTCATGCACTTTATTAAATATTACATGGTATCACTGGGGATTTTTTCATGTACTAGACAAAATGCTTTGACTTGAATATGTTCTTGTGATTAATAGCATGGACCACGTTTGCTTAATGTAAATGTCTTACTCCATCTAAACTAGTGAGTCTATTCCTGACTAGGATATCCCTGTATCCACCCCCAGTGGAGAAGACTGTCACATCCTTCAAACTGCAATTCATATTATCCCGCCAGTATCCATTCACTTTGTCATAAAACTCACTCTGCCGTATATCTATATCTATCACTGGTCAAAATAAAATAATCATCAACATAAATCAAATAGAATATGAGTATTAGGCAATTTTATGAACATGATAAATGAAATGAACTATGAGTATTAGGCAATTTTAACAATAATGTCAAAAAATGATTGAAGAAAAGAATGAAGTGAAAAATTGTCCACCTGAGAATCCTTGTGAACGGAAAACAATTACGTAACTTTAACCAAGGATTATTACATGAAATCATTAAATGAAATATGACATTATGGTTAAGGAATTGTATAATGCACTTATCATACAATGAGACAGAAGAGTTATACCTATTTAATCAATCATAGAAAATGCATTAGAGATTTAATGGAGGCATCAATACATCTTATAAAATATTTTACCTGGGCTTCTATGTGGCGTTGCCTGGGTGATGATCAAATGAACCAGTTTGGGATCAAAGTCAGGTAAAGTAAACAAACCTCTGGCTACCATTCCTCCCTATATAAATTGAGAGTCAGCGAAAAGATGTAGAAAGTATATATTCTGTTTTTTTTTCAAAGATGAACTAAAGGTGTACATGTACCTCAGTGGTATTTATATTAAATAAGATATAAATATAGTATTCTTACCAAACAATAATATTTGTGCACATACATTTCAAATTTACCATGTCCATTTAATTTTTACAAAATTTTCCAAAACAGTATACCATACAAATTTACTTAAATGTGATCATAAATATTAGCACAATCTTTATAATAAAAGGGGAGAAAGAGAGATACTTTTTCTTTTGACTATCTATGACAGAAGGGAAATAACTTTGAACAAGAATCATAACATGAAACAACCAAAATTCCTCACCATAGAATGGCCCACCACAACAACACTATCAGGTATGTGAGTTGAGGACTTGTACAGCTTTAGTATGGCCTTTATACATTCGTGAACAAATTCTGAAATGAAAGAGGTTTTTATTTCTTATACAGACTGCATAACCCTATAACATACAGTGGTGTATCTTAAATTTACAAATAATAATAATAAATAAAATGTTGAGTGACATCAAACTCTCTGTTCATATAGGTAATGTTATCACAGTGAAATAAATATATAGTAAATATGTATAAAGAGAATTTGATTTTCAAACAGATCTAGGTGACTGAGCATTAAATAAAGAGCAAAAATACCATGTGGCATACACATTTGAATTACACCATACAACACTGGGACCTATTAAACAAAAGAACTTAGGTTTTTGGCCATAAAGTTATGTGTTAAACAGGTTCCTATACTTGTTCTCATTAAAATTATGTGTTAAACAAGTTCTTATACTTGTTCTCATTATTCTCACCTGTTTGGTCTTGAAGAACTCCCCCATATATTCCAGACATTTCCTAGAACAGAAAATTAGCATACTGAACGGTTATATTTATTCAAATTTTATAAAAAATATTTCCCAGATAAAAAGATATTGTAGCCAACAACTTATAGTCAATGAAATATCAATCCTGCAATCTAGCATATACTGAGCTTTAGCCAAATGCTGAAGAGCATAATCTTATTTGGCTTAATGTTTTTTTTTTTAATATTGTGAGATTTTCAAAAAAAAGGTTACAATTATCCAAATACTTAGCTTAATGGCTTGTCAACCTTATGTGAGCACATATATAAAGTTTTGTACAAGCAAGAAGTACTGTTCCCACCTCATTTAAATCAACTGAGAAGTAGTTGAAGTGGATGTTGTCTTCCCTAGTGTTGGACTTCTGCAATGCAACTGATGCCAAGGACCTCACTAAAACAGAAAAATATGTCACTAAAGAAAGTACAAGAATATATTATATTTTATGTCCTCATGGTCAGATAGATATAATGTATACAGTACTAGTAGTGTTCACATAATATGGACCTAGGAACTGGAAACATTGTCAAGCTTATTAGGCAAAGATTCAAGTTCAAATAAAATTTCGCTACAATGTTACCACAGAAAAAGTGTGTTCCATAAGATTTATTTAAGATAAATGATAATTCAAGTTACAAGGTGATGGGTCATGTGTAGTCTGCATTATTTATTTTCATATAAGTTTTCTTTTTGCAATACGAATGCTGGGGTGCCAACACTGTATTTCAGATATTCTAGGCAATTATTTCATGTGGAATCCCATGTTTAACATTTACCCTATTGTTAATTACATGTTACACAATACCAGTAGATCTACAAATTATGCTCACTATAATATTACCTATCCTTAGTATGTTGTTAAATAATTATTATCAGTGTCAAACAAGTTCTAAATCCTTATTATCTTTTATCAGTCCAATGCTTTTAATCAATTCAAATTAAATTAAATTAACCCTGTCAGCCAAGTGTCAGGATAATAAAGGCTGAGACATAAAACCACACATGAACAAATACCTTGTTTATAGCTGCCAGCATTGCCAGGTATAAACAACACTGGGATTCCAGTCAACTTCAGACTCCTTCAAATGGAACAGAATATTTATACACATTATAATTATCATAATTCCAGAAGCATGACATATTAGGTGGATAAAAAAATTCATCAAACTTCATATCTATGTACGTACCGATATGTCACAAAAACTTAACCCCTATAAATTTTAATGAATTTTACTTTTTGCGTGCCTGAGCTTCAATTGCAGCTTTTTATTTTTAAACCTCCATATGTGTATGACTGTATGTTTACAAGCAAAAGAAGTAAGTAATGAAAATGTAAAAATAGAGAAACAGCTCAATGTGTCTGTGAGTTCACACCACTTTCTACATGGCAATGTTTCTGGCCCGAACCAGGTTTGACTCAATACAAATTCTTTTTATTCACCTGTGAGATTCAAGAAAATCGTTCCATTTATCACGCTACCTCAGAAAATTATAAGAATATATGAATATGGTGGGCAATACTTCAATATTTATCTTTCATTACTGAAAATGCTAATTTATTAATATTTTACAGAATTTGCACCAGAAAGAATTTTGTCTCACATGCCTATGACACATTAACTATTACAGGCTATTTGAAAAGGAAAATAAAGTGATTTAAAATGAAAAAAAAACTAACATTATTGTCAAATAAACAACATTTACCTTAGTTTCACTGCATATTCACTGAAATGTATGAAATGAAATATAAACAAGGATATTTCAATAAAAACAAGAAAACATCGAATCTAATTAAAAATCAATATCATTCTTATTTATTGAAAAGTTGTTATTGGTGAACACTTAACCTATTTGAAGAAAATGGTATTACATTGAGTTGAAACAATGTATGTAACAAAAAACGGCACTTAAAATTACAATTTTATACTTACCCTTCGCCATATATGTACAAATCATATCTCGGGAATTTTTCTTTAACATTCTTTTTGAGGTTGATTTTCTGAAAGGTGATAGCAATTAAATTATTAATGAAGTAAATATATTGAATAATGACATCTGCAGGAAACAACAACACTGAGGTAAAAAAAAAAAGTGAAAAGCTGATTATTTCACATGATATGATTATGATCAGTTTTAAATAGTACTTGTAAGTTTATGATTAAACATAAAGCTACTGGAAATATATGTGCCAATATCACCATTGCATCAGATGACCTGTAAATTATCATAGCTAGCCTAGTATGAATTAACTGTACATGTACAGTATGTTCTCACTTGATTTTATATTTTTATATATTTTATAAAAAAATAAATTTTACATCCCCTCTAAAAAGAAACGAACAGGGAAAACAACGACGGCAAGATGTTGATAGTCATATTATAAGCTCACTGCACAATGTTATAATTTTCAGATACATTGGCACTGAAGGTCAAAATCTAGGACATGTCTAGCCATTGATTGATAAATGCATGGCCATGGGACAGAAGTCGACTGACCCTGAAGCAGATTTGCAGACGTAATATTGTGAAAAAATCACAGCAAACATACCGTATATTGCGGGTACTGGAACATATACGTCATCTCACAACCATTTTCCTCAAAATTTGTGAGAAAATCGTGCAATCCAAGTGCAAATAACACACACCAAAGCAGGATGTCTCTGGTTAGCGGTTCAGCCATGGTACTTGACCTAGTTTCGTCTTCCAGGCTAAATATAGCACCATAAATAGGTCACGAAAATGGCGTTGCAGGAACAGTACGACACTGCGCTGCTAGGAATCCTTCAAAATGAAGGGTCCTTGGCGAATTTCATTGATGTTATAATGGGGTTTCTTTATAGAAGGTGAGTCTTTCGTAGAGAGGCATGTAAAGTATTGACAAGAAATGTAAGATTGTAAATAACGTTAACTTCTTTTTACTGTTACTACAGTGTTTTGAATGTATGACAAATGTAACAAAAATAACATGTACTAGTAGTAACGATTCATCACATCCAACATCATATAGAAATTTGCATCAGTGTTCTGTAAGAATGGGCCTTACTATGTTCTGTGCTTGCCAGCAGTAAGCATGAAACAGAGTACGGCCTTTATCTGAGGAAAGAAAAAACTCCAACACTGGTACCAGTCAGAGATACCAGTACAGTTAGTGTATGGTTATCAAATTTAACTTGATAGAATGTGAATTAAATGACATTTCTTTTGCTTTCCATTTTGATATGTTTATAACTTGTTTTGAATAAGTTTCACTTGTGCAGAATACCTTTGAGTGTTTATAAAGAATTTGCTTCCTTATAACTTAATAATTTTAGGGAAGTTATTTCTCACACCAATAATTAAACTTTATTGAATGTTTGATGCTTTCCAGATATGGTGAGGATTTGTAAACAAATTGTTAAAACACATTTAAGTACCAGGAAGGATATTTAAGATCTTGCCATGCACTTATCTGTCATTTTGTCAGAAAAAGCAAAATGTAGGGGTCAAATTGTACACCCTACTGGTATATACAGTACAGTACATGTATACATGTACCTGTATATATAAAGGTTGAATAGACTGACTCCAAAATTCTATTTGTTATAGCCAAATAGAGGGATGTTTCTAGCCATCTCAGATATTTTGTTTTAAATCAGTCATAGTATTGACACAAGGCAGTAAAATAGATGACTTTTCCCTATGCATATTTAAAGAAGTTTTAACTTAAAAGTATTTGGCCAAGGTTTATCTTGCATGTGCGGCACCAAACAGGTAGCATATGGCTTTTTTGGAAATGCGTTGAAATATAATCATTACAGATCTGAAATAATGTGAGTTGTATTTTATTTATATGTTATTCTTATTATTATTATGTTTCAGGACTGATTTCTACAGGATCATGAAGAGCAAGGAAGATAAGCTAGGCTTCCCAGAAGGCATTGCTGTACAGCACGTTCTCAGGGTAAAAAGATTAGAAACTATTCCATCTTCATTTACAAATGGGAACAATGTCATGATACAGAATTCATTTTATTTTAATTCCATGAATGTATTTATTTGCTTATTTCTTTATTTATTCCTCAAGGCAGTATTTTCCTTGTTTGATTAATTCTTATAAAACAATTAAACATGTAGTGTTTTATGTCAAATATCAAGAACATTCTCATATTATTCAAAATTATCACAAATTTTTTCATTCACAGGCCTATCAGAAATATGCAGATAAAGCAAAAAAAGATGAAGAGAAAAGACAAAAATTGATTGAAGCCAAACAAAGATTGAAGGAACAAAAAATGGGGGCTATTACAGAAGAAGCAGGTACTGTAGTTAAAAATGGAAAAAAATAGAACATAGACCTTTTGAGAAACTTCAAAATTTTTCCAATACAACCAACGTTGTCAGTTTTTGAAAATCAGGTTTAAGGAAGCCATATATGGATGATACCACCACAAAGTTAAACAAAAATCTTATTTTTCAGTTAATCGTTGTTTTGTCAGAGATTAAAATGAGGTTGATACTACCATAGTTCTATTTTACAAATAGTTCTATTTTTCTGTTGGTTGTTTTGTTTTTGCAGAGAAAAATGAAAAGTGGTACCCCCCCCACACACAAAAACTGATGGACAGAAATCTTATTTTCCATAGTCTGTTGTGTTTTCAGATGAATAATAAAGAATACAATAAATAATGTTGTTTCATTGAATTGCCACTTTTTCAGGGAAAGAGATCGGGATGATACCAACACAAGTAAAAGAAAAAAAAAGTTATTATTTATAAATTAAATATATGTTTATCATAATTTTTTCAGAAGAACAAAATGGGGATGAGGTCTCCAGTCCAAAGCCCCAGGACACTCCAAATGAGCCCTGTTTACCACAGGTAGCAGAAGAGGTGACAGTTGACACAGGACAGGGTGACCACGGCCAGGAGGAGATGGCAGAGGCAGCAGGAGATGTGAACATGGAGGAACAAGACGAGGATCTAGAACAGACAAGGTGGGTATAAAACATTGGTACTTAGATTGATCCAACTCGCTGAATGCAGTCAGATGAATAGAGTAACACCCCTGATCCTCATGTTCAGTAGAATAAGGAAAAGCTGGTGATCATACAAGTTCGTTGGAAACAAGAAGATGCGTGTTAATCTGATTGCATTCAGTGAGAAACCCTGCAGAGTTGGATTGATCCATGTAGAAAGATAGTGTCATTGGGAATGAGCCCAAAGAATGGTTCTTTATTGGAATCTAAAATAAATTGGTTTGTAAAAGTTAAACATTAAAAAATTCCTGTCTTAGAAATATGATGAGAAACAATATTTACGATCCGTTATATATTTCCTCATATATGATTAGATGAGCATCAATATATAACAATCTGTTTCTTAACTTCCTTCAAATAGAATAATATTTCTGTTTTATATGATATCAGAATGCAGAAGATCTTCCAGTCCAACCCAGAGAGTTATAACGGTGCTATCAGAGATAGGTACAGTTGGACACAGTCAATAACAGACTTAGATGTGAGAGTGAAGGTAATTTTACTGAAATAATATGTTTTTGTTTTTACTTCAATGTCAGGGTTACCAACATTACAGCCCTCAGAAGTGTAGATCTTTTTAAAAATCACCCTGAGGTTCAAAGTCTACTGGATACTACCCTACACCACTACCATGCTTCTATCATTACTGGGAATCTCTGAAACTCATTGAAAATAATGGGGATTGATCATAGATAATGTCTAGAATATACATAAAATGGCCACAGTTGGCAGCTCGACTACTAATCACATATGAAAAGAATGGTTCAAATCATGTGTCGTATGTGATTTAATTACATACCTATAGTCAGACTTGCCAACTTAGATTGGGTGACATTGATGAATTAGATTGAGGAGACGTAAATGAATATACTTTAATTCCATATGTTGAATTAAAAAACAATATGTTCAGTTCTTAAGAGTTTTTCACCACCAACATTTCTTATTTTCCAGGTGCCAAATTTCATACTAAAGGGTAGAGATGTAAAAGTTGACATCCAGAAAAAACATCTCCATGTGGCGTTCAGAGACCCAGATGGCATGATGGTAGATGTCATCAATGAAGATCTAACTTGGGACATAAATAAGCAGGAATCAATATGGACACTTGTGCCAGGGCAGCATGTGCATGTAAGGGCTGATTCCCAATGAAACTATAGTTCTATGTAGATCAATCCAACTCTGCGGGGACTCTCACTGAATGCAGTCGGATAAACATCCCTCCTCTTGTTTTCAACATACTGGTATAGTCACCAGCTTTTCTGTATTCTACTCAATCACAGGAGGAGGTGTGTTAATTTGATTGGATTCAGTGAGAGTCCCTGTAGAGTTGGATCAATTTGTGTTTTTAAGATATAATAAAAGTCTGTGTAAAGTAGCCATTCTTTTTAAAAATTCAGAATTATCAATCATCAATTTTTCCTGGGTTCACTCAATATTATCAAAGAAGAACTGCCTGTTTACCTATTTTAGATAAATGAATGAAGAATGCTTGAAAATTTGAGATAGATAGCATTAAATTTACTTATGATTCCATAATTTCCTGTAGATAAACTTAGAAAAAGTTCAAGAAAGATGGTGGGAAGCAGTTTTAGTCGGGGAACCCAAAATTAGCACGCGGAAGATTGACCCTTCTCGTCCAATCACTGACCTAGATGAAGAAGCACAATCCAAAGTTGGAGAGATGATGTACAATGAACAAAGAAAGAGGATGGGACTGCCCACCAGTGAGGAACAGGTGAGAGAGGGAAAGAAAGTGGTGCTGGTCCATGTTTAAAATTTAGTCTGCAAGAATGACTATTACATTTGGCCTGTTTTTTTTTCTAATTTTTTCAAAAAGGGGTCATTGTTCATCATTGTACATTTTATCAAAATTACTAAACTTACTAATTAATAATGTCTAAATAATAATTTCTTCAAAACAAAATCTGAACTTAGAGTTGTGCATATGTTACTTCTCTGTCTTCCAAGGCACCATCTTCAATGAACGAGGACCAAAGACACTTGGGTAAAGGCTATGACAAAACCTGTGCGCTCATTCTCTGAAGAAGCTGGCTTGTGAAACATTGAAAGTTTTTTTTTTTACTGGTTCCTAACGTGTTTGTAGTTTTAGTTTGGGAACCCAAAATTTGTTTATCATCTTGTAACTAAAAAGTATAACCTAGTATTATGTGCATCAGCAAGAGAATGATAAAACACTAAATGAGGAAAGGAAAGGAAAGTCAAATCTTGTGTGACACAATCTTTTTTGTCTCCTTTCAGAAAGTCAATGATATGCTGAAGAAAGCATGGGATGCTGAGGGTTCCCCATTCAAAGGACAGCCTTTTGATCCATCTAAGATAAATGTTTCAGGAAACACTATGACATTCAACAACTAGTATTATGAACAGAAATGTGTGCCATATATTGTACATGTGTTATAAGTTGGTTTGTACTGTTGTAGTCTAGGTTCTCTCTAAGAGATAATGAACTGCAAAGTGCATTAAAATTTTTAAATGGGCTTCATTTTAGGTGCCCTGAATCATTTTTGTTTTAGAATGAGAAATGTCATTCATAAAACTGAGTTCAGTCTGTTAAATTTATGCCAAATGCTTATCAGGAAATTAAGTGTAAAATGTTTTACTGCTTTTGGACAAATTAAATATCAGTTTCATTGAAAATGTTGATATGGTTGAAATTATCTACATATTGGATATGAATAGATTTATCCTTGAGTAAACCCTGAAATAGTAATTGTTATGGATAAATTCTGTTCTGGCAGCGGCAGTTCTAGGGGCAGACTAAGCCCACATGAATTGTTATTTGTATTTGAATGTACTTTTGTCTTACACACAAGCTGTATGATAAATCTTTGAATTATTAAAACTGTTATGAATTTTCAGAATGATTTTGTTATAACAAACTTTTTTATTTTAATTAATTAATTCTTTTTACAAAATAATTCATAAATTTTGGTGACTGTTATTTTCCTAAGCAGAAAACCATAAATGTTGAGTGAACCATGTCTTCATTTTAACCACTAGAAATATATTTACTGTGGTTCCTGAAACTGTGTGTGTGTGTGTGTGTGTGTGTGTGTGTGTGTGTGTGAAAACTTATTAATAAAATAGCTTATTTTTTCATATCCAATTAAAATGGATTTGAGCAGAGTGAATTTTCAAATGTAAATCAAATGATTAAATATTTAGATCTAGTTGGTGTTTGAAGATGAAAACTTATTTGATTCCATCTAAAAGGACTAATTCTAGTGAAATGAAATACTAAGTAAATATTGCCATGCTTGTAACTTGATGAAATAAGTAAATATATGACATCATTTGCTGTATAACTACCTAACAATGCATTACAGGTGTTAAATTCATATTGACTTCTGCCTTTGATTATTGTTACAATGTCATATCTGATAATCTGTTAAACAAACAAAACGAAAAGGGAATTTTGAAAAGTTGCAGAAATTATTATTAGAAGGAATACAGAAAGGTTTTAATTTAGTGTTTTTCACCTTGTAGTGTGAAAGCATGATCAAAAGTACACCTTATATAATATCTTATTATCATTCATTATTAAGCAAATCATATTGTGTAGGGAATTTCATGCATATCAGCTCAGAATGGTTTATCAGTCTGCATCAGTTTTACATTTCTAACATCCAGCAAAAACCCAGCACTATATTTTACATCAAGTCAAAAGTTAATGAATTAAAAATCAGTATTTTATTTTGAAATAATGATGATTTGATTATATCATGAGCATTGCAGTTTGACCATATTAGTCCTTAGGATGCATGCCTAAAAATTGCAACGTATCTCTCTCTATATCTAAAAATAACAGACACAAAAAGTGCCTAGGCCACATGCCAAGATTGCCACTATCTGTCTCTCTCTGTGCAAAAGGCCATTTAGCTGATAAAAGCACTTGTCCCTTGACACTAGACATGTAAGTTGATTAATTTCCTTGATAAGGCCAGTTTTCATGCTGACCGTTATTAAGGTAGATGAAACCTTGATGGTTATCCTGGGGCCAGCTCCACACATTCAGAATTGAAGTTGTGAGTAGGGCTTAACTTTGGAATCAAAAGTTCTAGCCTACTTTTAGTCGTTCACTTATTTCGAAAAATATTGGAATTGTTTAACTTGGAGTAAAAAGTGATGGACGTTTTAGATCCATTAAAATTGTTGCTTTAACTTTAACTTAACTTTATTCTAGGGTAAAATTGACCATAACTTTTTGTCTGAAAGTTGAGGTCAACTTTTGACTTAAGTGCTCATGTGAAGCAGAGGCCTCTATGCTGTTGAGTGTGTAAGTTAGAGACAGGTATGTTTTGATGATACATGTAAGATATGTATAAACAGTTGGAGCTTTTTACAAAAGATAATTGTGCTGTGGAGTAAGTTTTTCAAACTTCAGTGGGTAGTTTACCATTTTTGCTGAAGGAGAATCGAGACGGTGTCTTTTATCAAATTGTCTCGTTGTCAGGAAATATTAGTTCAGCTGTTTGTTTGCTATGCTGGAATTTAGTTTGGCATACGTATGAATGCCTGTGCAACTCTTATGTCAGTACAAAGTACACATTTCAGAAATTTATGTCTGTCTGAAACTATGATTTACTGATATCAGAAACAAAAAGTGAATTGTAATGGTTGAAAAATTTTTTTTTTCATTTTATTGGTATCATAGGAAATTCATGTCTCTTTCTTGGATCTTTTCCCACTATATGTACAAAAATCATTTTGTTTCAACTCATTTGTTTTGGGTGAAAGAGCAAAGACGCAGTTGTAAGTTAGTCTGCATTTTTTTCTGCTTGGGGCACTACATGCGGCAAGTGAGTCTTATTCTGTACTACCTGGGGCAGTGACAATTAAGTTAAGTCTGTTATTATGTAGTACTAACTTGGAGCACTTACAAATGAGTCTGTTATTCTGTACTACTTAGAGCAATCATAAATGTGTCTGCAATTCTGAAGTGTACGTAGATTTTATATTTATTTTCATTAACACTTGTTAAGTTGGTGGGGAAATACGATCAAGTGTTCTATAGCCTAAGGATGTCTAAACACTGTGCATCATTTAATGGTGTGCTTTCTTTACAGAAAAGAAAATATAAACATAAAAGGTAGATTTGAGCTTATTTAAATAAGCAAATTTATTTAATTCTTTTGGCACTATTTCACATTGACATTAAACAATATTCAAGTAATACAGCTTGAACCTGGAGGCAATGCAAAGTCCTAAATGCCATTAGAAGTTAATCTACTTTGATCTTGGTCTCACAGCCAGTCAAAGAGGTGCAGTTACTTACTATACTGATTCTATACAGTAGATATACCAAGTATTTATTTTCATTCCCTATGGTATAGGGGGGACTTGGACAATGGTCCTGTACTGGAGTTACCCTGAGACTTCTTACAGTCTTTAATTGGATTTGGTATTCACCTGCAAAGACTGCCTATGGATTACAACCTATAGGTGACTGAAAATCTTTGTTAAAATTGGTTGGGGATTTTCAGGTGTTTGACAAGTTTGAGTTAAAACAGCTGAAGGAAGTCACGAACATGTTTTATGAATGATGAAGAGATCTTTGTGGTAAGATATCATTTTTTCAGAAGGGGCATTATGATATGATTTGCTCAAGTTATTTTTACTTGAGTTTTGTACTGTGGTCATGCAAATATCTTCAACAACAATATATATATATATCAATTCAACCTGGATAAAACAAAGTAACTTTCCAAACATTCTGGTAATTTACTTTGTATGATGAGTAAATTCTAAAAGAACTCACTGAGCTAAATTTGTTGTTTTAAGGTCTTTTTCATAAGAGTTTTGTTCAAAAAGGTGCTGTGTTAGGATTTTGCTTTTATTGTAAATTCTAATTTGATACCACTGCTTGACCATTAACTCATTCCAAGTCAATAACTTGAAGTGTTCCAGTTTTATCTCTAATCATAGCCATTATACAGCCATTATAGGTATCCCTTTCATAAAGATTAAGACATTTTAGCAGTCAGTAGACTGGAAGAAGTGAAAATAAGCCCTGCATATCACAGTAAAAGCCATTTGGTGCAAGTCAGAAATAGGTATCCAGTGACAAAAGGCAACATCACTATTAATGAATTCAAATGGTTCATCCGAGTGTCTTATATCAGTATAGAATGTGATGCCTTTTTATATCAGTTGTGTTTTTTGTTTGCTTTGGAAGTTGGTTTTACAGATTTGTTGATTTGAACTGAGTTCAAGTGGCCTGGATATTTGGGGAGAAGTCTAGCGGAAATTTATGCTCAACATCAACGAAATTAGGCTGACTTCCTACTTTGTTCCTACACTTCCTACAGTATGGCTGTAAGTATGCTTTTCTTTCATCTTGGCGTATTTGATTTTCATCCAGCCACAAAGTTTGAAAGCCAAATAGGTGCTTAAGTTTTGGATATCAAAAACAAAGATTTAAATCAAATGTTCTGACTTTTACACACACTGTGCCTAAGCAGTACAAATACCAGTTAAAGAGCCATCTATCAAGCTATAAAAGAGAAAAAGAGTATCATGGGCCCATCCCAGATGATGGATATTCTTCATTTGTGTCACCAGCACCACAATGGCACATGCAAGACTGAGTAATGCAGTGTAGTAAAATAGGTTGGCAGACAAAGAGCACTTTCTACTTAAAAATAAAGGCCTTGGAGCTAAAGGGTACTTTTGATCATTTTCAGGCTCAGAACGTGATGTCAGCTCAGGAAATAGCAGGTAATTATCCAACTGATGTGTTAAATGTTTCTAGGTGATAGATAAATATCAAATAGATAGATGAGGAATTTAATTTGGGAGGCAACACTTAATTAAAATAAAACATTTTCAATGGAACTTTTGGGATTACATAGATATTGACTCAGACACCCAAACTTGGTGTAAAGTATTGATGGCAATGTTTTAATTTATTATTTCATAAGGTTAAGATTTTCAATGAGAAGAAAATTATGTTACATGGCTTTTGATATTGGTATCTCCTACAGAGAGCTTTAATATCAAGGACAACTGATTGGAGATATTTGCTTAACTCATATAAAGTTCCTTCATTTCTAAATGTATGCAATGGTGCACAATTATATGATCAATTATATTTATGGTCCTCATAGGCAAACACTTGTGGTTACATATATCAGCTGCAATGTCTGATTTATCTTCATAGACCATGCTTCAATATTAGGATAAGCACACCGGTTACTCATTCTTATGTGACTAAATTTCAGTAAGATGACACATATTTTCAAACCAATAAATCTCCTTAAATTTCTAGACATTGACAAAAGAGGGGTACAGGCTTTGATTGAAAGTTATGTGGGACAAAATTTTACACAAGATTGTCTTTCATAAATATTTTCATTGCTCAACAAATTCAATTAATTTTACATTTGTTTACTTAATTTGTTTTTGTTTGTTTTGTTTTTTTATCCATTTATATTTATTTATTTATTTATCTGCCATTTCTATTGGAGGAGGGCCCTTATATATTTACAAACACTTCATACTAAATGTGAACATATAATACTATATCATATCACATTTCTTAAGTTGTATATTCTCCCCAAGGAGATGAATCAGATAAGCATGTGCTCTGCAGGGGTTAAGACAAAAATTGTCTGCTCCTCAGGGAGATAAAACAGCAGAATGTATGCTCCCAATGGGGTTGAGACCAAAAGACGGGGTTGTGAAACAGAAAGATAGTTGAATATAGTGTCCATGGAGGTGAGACCAAAATTGCTCCCCAGAGAGGTGAAACTGAAAACATTATGATCCCCAGGATGCTCAGGCAAAAAATTATATGCAACCAATACTACATGCTCCCTCTGTTGATGATGCTGAAAAATAAATATGCTCCCCAAAGAGGTGAGATATATAAATGCATGCTCCCCAGGAAATTTAGAAGTGATGTACTCGTATGCATCCAATCTGGTCAATTTTGCTATATTGAGGTTATCAGGCTTGAAACCTATATTCTGTTCCTTTTTAAATACATGAATGAATTAAATTATTTTCAGAGTCAAAGCTGGTCTTCACAGTGCTGGATAAAAATTCTGATGGCAAAGTGTCAGTCTGTGACATCAGGACAACCATGCACAAGTTAGGACATGATGTCAGCAATGAGGATTGTCAAGATTTTATTAAAAAAGTGTCATGTAGGTACAGCTTAGAATCTTATATATAAATGAGTGAAAAGAAACAAATCTCAGGGATCAAATCTGAAGTTGTGAAAATGCTTTTTAATTTTTTATTATTGTTTTATAACTTATCATTATTATTTGTTTTGTTCAGTAAGATGTGATAGTTGATGAGAAATCAAGGAAATTTCATTTATGAATTTTTTTTCGAAGTCCCTTTGGTATTATTTGTTACTAAATTGGATGACACTGAAGAGTTGCCAAATTTGATATCATACAAATACATTTTTATGGAATGAAAATCATAAAACTTATCCACAGGTAATGGAAATGCCAGTTTTAATGAAAAGGACTTTCTTGCCTGGATGGAGACGTACAGAGAGAAAGATTCAGAGACTGTTCTCTTCGATTCTTTCAAAGCATTTGATAAAGATAAAAATGGACTTATATCTCGGGTACAGTATATTTAGTTTTGCTCTATTTTACAAGCATAAAGAAGATCATTAGCCCCAGAAAATAGATTCATTTATTAAACAGTGACAGAATGAATGAATAATCAAATTCATTAAATAATGAAGAATTAAATGAATAGATAAAATATATAGAGTCCAATAATGAAGAATTAAATGAATAGATAAAATATATAGAGTCCAATATGTATCATATTACATCAGTATGTTTCATTATTCGAGTTTTGTCATTTTTCATTGTGTGATAGGAGACTGTTTTAATTAAAATAAAAAAAAACAAATAAACAAACAAAAAATGTATAATCAATTTCCATATTTAACATATCCAGCAAGAGCTTCAGGAAGGCTTGGAGCTGATGGGTGTACATTTAACAGAAGACATGCTGGATGGTATGTTCTCAGTAGCAGACAGAAACCGTGATGGAGGAATTAGTTTTGAAGGTAAGGACCACAAGCAGACACACACACACACAGAAATACAAATGCATCAGTTTTGAGGGGTATTAACTCCTGTGTTGATTTAAACTTCTAATACCAGGGGACTGTTTTTCAAAAAAAATGGTTTTAACTTTAAGACTGGTGTAACTTAAGTCTGTTTAGGATCAAAGTAAATCAGTAGAAGTCCACTTTAGTGAAGACATTAAGTCTTTTCCATGAAGATTTAGATATGGAAAAAATTTAGACTGATTGCAATTTTTTTCGCAGGCTTCTACATATTCACCCTGGATCAACCTTGACTTACCTGTTTTGTCTCAAAGTTAATACCCATTTTCAAATTGAGTTCTTTTGTGAAAGATGCGCCTTTGGGCTGGTTAAGTTAAGCCTGAAGAGGATTGCTCTAACCTGAATTAAAATCTAGACATCATTAAAATATTCCTTAATAGTGCAAAGAATTAAAGTAATCATCATGATTGGTGTGATATTGACAATTATGTGGTTGAGAAAAAAATTTACCAAATCTAATTTAGTAACAATAATGTGTCCAGAATTGTATGTAAAAAAAATTACAGCTTAAGTTCCCATGTGTACATAGCAGTAATATTTATTTTATTTTGTTTATCTTTTTGTTTCCTGAAGATGATTCTTTCATTTTTCTTTCCAGAATTTGTTCGTGTCATGAAACCATCCTAGCCAACCACCTTTCGTTTACCATTGAGTTCATCACTGCGACAGTTATTTTAGGAATAGACAATCTTTTATGTTGGATTGCATTTCACCTGACTTAAACATGATGGGGATGTCTTTGGCACATCAGTGAAAGCAAACATTTTAACTGCAGATACAATTCTGTATTTTGGTCTTCAGAGTTAAATTGAGTTTCTGCAGCTGAAAATTGGTGAATATTGAAAATTTTGGCTGCTGATTTGATCTGACAAATAATATTAAGTATACAGTACTTTCTTTGATATTGACACCAAAGGCAAAACACAAACTTGCAATCAAGTGAAGGTGCTTCAGCTCTGTTAATGTGTTCAAAGTGAAAATCTAGCTTATGATGTTCATATAAGCTAATTACTGAATCAATCATCCATCTCCAAGCATGTTGCTACCAGTAAAGCATGCTTATTATCATTTGCATCCACTCATTAATTATTCACATATTCATGTATGATGCTCCAAGTTACAAAATCTAATAAAAACTCCATTAATGTCAACATTTCAATTTTGTATTAAAGTAAATGTCAAATGAAAAATTATTTTGTTATTCTGACTCTTTGCTTATTCAATTTTATAACACTTGGAAAATATTTTAAGATAATTTTTTAATTCAGTAGGGCTATCCTTTATGTAGAAAAATCTGGATCTAATTTATCTTTTCTTTTTTATTTACTTTTTTATCTACTTTTTTTTGTTTTGCTTGAAAAGGTGTCACTTGTCCTAGAGGAAAAAGAAAGGAGGACTTGCAAATAGGTTTACAATTCCATTGAAAATCCATTTACTCAGGAGCTTTCAACTGCTTGTGCATGACTAATGTTTTTTTTCATTAGATTTAAAATTTTAATCTCTACTTCCATACCATTCTTTTTGTTAAAATGGTGGATAAACAAAAAAAAATGAAATGTGAAACACTGATAATATTCTTATTAAGAGCTACCAGAAGTAGTAAGGCATTACCTCCAATATTCTGTTTTTGCAGCTGTTAGCCACTTTTATAATTCTTGATTAAAAAAGAAGAATCATGTTTTAAAAATGTATTGAGCTAATGAAACTGTTCCTTAATAAAAACGCTTTCTTTTTGCTGAAGTTTGATAATGATTCTTTGCCCCCCGGTTCTAATGACATAAGAGGGAGAAAATGAGAAATTTATGTACATTCAAACGACAGGAAGAAGTTGCGCTACTCTTCTAATGTGGAGGCAAGAAAGGACGGGTGTGCATGTCTCCAGTGTTTACATTAATGGCTACCAAAACGGAGTCAGATAGCTCTCTTCGATCGAAGAAAGAACTGACAGAAAAGTTCCTACAGCTTCGAAAACAAGCTCTGGAAGATGGAGTATACGATAGCTACCTCCGTGAGGTGTTTTTAAAACATGCCAACAAAGGTTCTACGAAGAGATTCACTTTGTTTGGATCCAGGAAGTTATTCATCGCTAGCGCTGTTTTCGTTGTACTGGGGATCATATATTACAACTGCCCCTTTACTTATCAAGATGTCTTAGACGAATTTTATACAAGCAGGTGCTTGGTTGAAAACAGTGCAATACTTGGGGAGATTGCCAGACCTCTTGCAGATTGCGGTATATGCCGTGGCTTGAGTGAAGTCCCCATCATAAACAACTTAAGTGAGGAAGAATTTGTTGAAAAATACGCTTACACGGGCAGACCAGCGTTAGTGAGAGGAGAGACGGGGAACTGGACGGCATTTGAGGTGTTTTCTTTTGACTACTTCAAGGAGTTATACACAGAAACCCCAGATGCATTTGAGATAACAGAAAATGAATGTCAGTTCTTTTCGTACCAGTCAAGGTTTTCTTCACTGGAGGAAATGTTTAATATGTCCAAAGAGAGGGCAAATTATGAGGAAGGACAGGAGCACTGGTATATTGGCTGGTAAGGGGGGCACTTCTGAATTAAGCGAAGCCCAGGTTTAAATTAAAAAAAATTGTTATACTATAAATTTATATGTGGAACACACATGCACACACACACTCTATCCATTGCAAATAAATACAATTACTACAGTACTTTTTAAATGCTGTCACTTTCTTCATTCTCTGTAGGAGTAATTGTGTTGCTGATGTTGCCAAAAAGTTGAGGAAGCATTATCAGAAGCCTCACTTTTTACCCAAGGACTCGGAAACCAGCTCTCTGGACTGGATATTTATGGGCTGGTCAGGAGATGGGGCAGCTATGCACGTAAGTTTTAAGTCTAAAGCTATAATTTATTGTTACATAGAAAGAGCCCTCTGGGCATGGTTGATAAACCACTCTTTCCCTATAGGGAAGCTTCTTTTCACTTGAGTATTTTAAAAGTCAAATAGCTGAAGAGTGCAAAAATGTTTTTGTTTTCTTCACTTTGTGATGTACACATAATTTATTTTCTTGTTATACATTGTGAAAGTAAAATTCATCCGGTGTAAATTAATTGCATAAATCAGTCAGTCAGGGAGGAGGAGCTATGCAGGTAAATTAAACCTTAAAGCTTGAGGCTACCACTGATTATTGGAGAGAGCACTATGGGCATGGCTGACAAGATGATTGATCATGCTGCAAGTCAATGAGAAGGGGAGGTTGATGCCAGTGGAGGTTGCATAACAACTGTGATGCCAGCAGCATTGTGACCTGTGTATTTATGTTCAATGCCTTTGTGAAATTTATCATCCTTTGGAATACTGGTGCCTAGACAAAATTGTAAAACCAGTGTCTAAAGAAGTTTTTTTTTTTTTCAATTTAGAAACATGTTGCTTATTTATTTTTTATTTTGGTGCTTGCTATCTGGGTCAGTGGATCTCAGTTTTTACTGGCCAAGCTTAAAGTTTTCCTGCCCCCAAAATTTTTAATAAAAAAACTTAAACGTTCACTCGTTGCAGATGTTTCAATTTTCTAAAAGAATTAACATTATATTCTCTTTCACAAAAATCTTAACATCTTTAGGAGAAAAAAGAACTGTAAACAAGGATTGCATTTTTAACACCCCGAGTTCCAGAAATTGTTGGAAATTTACCTCCACTATTAGCATCCATGTGCTGTTTTCAAAAGAAGCATGCTGATACTGTACTAGTAGGTTATACCATGTAGTATTCTCTAAAGCTCAGGCTTGGCCAGAAAATTGGATGTCCTGGGGCAATGGACAGGGGTCATTTTGGACACCAAATGATTTGCAAAAGCAATTTCAATTTGAAAATATTTCTGCTCATTTTAACTGAATGTTATACCAGTGGGCATTACAAGATACAGAGACAGTCTAGTCCACAAAAACATTTTTTCAAATATAATACATTTTGGTATACCGTGTATATTTTTGAGTATATATATTTTATAACAATTTATTTTAAAGGTATTAGGAAAATTTAAGATGGATCTTCTGTTTTATAAATAACTTTCTTGAACCATGTAGATAATCCACATGTGCGCAAAATGAATATTTAAGTTGTGTCTACCTCTGCGTCTGAGTTTTATAACCCTAATTGTTAATTTTTATGTACATATATATCCATAGTTGGACCAGGTCCAGAGGCCGTCCTGGCAGGCCCAGATCAAGGGAGAGAAGACCTGGTACCTCTTGCCTCCACCAGAGTGTGAAGATGTCTGCAACGCGCTGGAAGTCACCGTGAAAAAGGGAGATATAAGTAAGTGGATGTCGCAGAAAGAGAATGGTGACACAAATACTGTGATATGTTTTTGCTTTTGGTGCAGTTATGTCAAATTTTGATTTATCACTGAATTTTGGTGCCAAATCCTCGTTGTGTTTAAGTCATATTTCATTGCAGTTGATCACCTGCTTGTTCTCCAGATATAAGAAGAGGTTTCAAAAGTTAGTTTGTTTCCAACAATTGGGGTATACCACAGTTGGGGCTGGTTTCAAAAAAAGCTTTTTAATACACTGAAGACTTTAGTTAGTCTTAACTTTGGACAAATATTATCATCTACTTTGAACAAGTTAACCCACAGAAAGTACTGCATCTGTTGGTTTTCTCCCCCTATATGAAACAGAGGCAATGTTTTGGCTACTATCAGTTTATCTTCAGTCAAAGTTAACTAAACATTTTGGTCCTATAGTTGAAACCAACTTTTGATGATAAGTTTTTTTATAAAACTAGCCTCAGAACTTACAAACTTAAAGATGAAGCAGTCTTTGGATCAATTTTTTCCTTTTTCTTCTCAGTTCTGCTAGATACTAACCAGTGGTATCATTCTACATATATCCACGAGGGAGAGATGAGTATCACCATTGGTTCAGAGTATGATTAGACCCAAATGGCCGATGAAGCACCCTGAGTTTGTGAGGAATTAGTAACGTTCATGACAGACACAGGCTGGGAGGAGGAAACTGAAACTTGGGCTGGCTTTAAGAAATATAACAAAGACCAAGAGTGAAGTAGTGTGGAATTTTTCCCCTGAAGGACTAAAGGAAAATGTGATCTCAAGATATTCATACATTCCATGCACTGCTTTTTTCAATTTAAAGTATAAATGGGGATTTATTCATTCAGCTGTTTAAATTTATGCAAGTGGAAATGATATACTTAAAGTGACTGTATCAGTATTGTTGATACTTACTCGATTTTAAATATGATGCAGTGTTATAGACATAAAGAGCTATTGCAATTATTTTTAAACTGCTTGCAACTTTTTTATTTGATTTTTAAAGTTACTTTATAGCTGAATGTTTTCTGCCTATAAGCTAGGCTGTGTGTAGAATTATATTTTTACAGAGGACTATTAAATATATTATTACTTTATCTTAATTGTTTAGTTTTCATACCTGGCAAATCTCTTATAAAAAAAAAGTGCTTCCATTGTAGATAAACATTTCAATTATTTCTACTACTGGATTGGCATCTGATCCAGACTCCCCCTATCAATATTTACCATATGATGATGGTGGGAAATAATTCATAGAAATTTATTTAAGAAACAGATACAAAATAGTTTCTATCTCAAAGTAAGTGGAGAGAAAATATTTTTATCAGTCTTTAGTTGACTATTAGAATGGTGACTTGAAGTGTTCGTATCAGACACCAAATCTGGTTTTAATCTTAATCAAGGTCATGTTATTCTTTGTCAAATTCTATACTAATCACTCATAGACCCCATTTTAAATACAATGCTGATAAAATAAAATAACTTTGTTTATTAAATTAGTCCATACATTGTATAATCATGGCAAACAAAATGCATGAAAACAGCAGTTTTTTGTAGTAGTAAAACAGTTGGACTGGCAGTAAGCACTGACATAGAACTAGGTTTAACTTAAAATTAACTGTCAATGAGCAACAGATTCATGGCATTACTGAAACACGAAGCTTTGTCAACTTCACAGGTCTACACACAGCCGAGGTTCTCTCCTCTTACTGAAGTGGTCAGAAAAAATGACCATAATAAGTTTTCTATACAGCTGGTTTTATGATGAAATGGACGAGCGCTGATCCTATGGAAAAAGTAAATGAGATTAAAAAGCCGACATTATTCTGGAACTTGCCCATGCCTAAATTATCGGCATGGATATCCTTTTAGAAACACTCCTTTCAAAGTGACANGTTTTAAAGGACCCCTATGGGCATGGCTGACAAGATGATTGATCATGCTGCTAGTCAATGAGAAGGGGAGGTTGATATCAGAGGTGGTTGCATAACAAATGTTATGCCAGCAGCATTGTGACATGTGTATTTATGTTCAATGCCTTAGTGAAATTTATCATCCTTTGGAATATTGGTGCCTAGACAAAATTGTAAAACAAGGGTCTAAAGAAGTTTTTTTTTCATTTATGTGTCTAACAGTGATAGAAACATGTTGCTTATTAATTTTTTTATTTTGGTGCTTGCTATCGGGGTCAGTGGATCTCAATTTTTACTGGCCAAGCTTAAGGTTTTCCTGCCCCAAAAATTTTCAGTAAAAAACTTAAACGTTCACTCGTTGCAGATGCTTCAATTTTCTAAAAGAATTATCATTATATTCTCTTTCACAAAAATCTTAACATCTTTAGGAGAAAAAAGAACTGTAAACAAGGTTTGCATTTTTAACACCCCGAGTTCCAGAAATTGTTGGAAATTTACCTCCACTATTAGCATCCATGTGCTGTTTTCAAAAGAAGCATGCTGATACTGTACTAGTAGGTTATTACATGTAGTAATCTCTAAAGCTCAGGCTTGGCCAGAAATTTGGATGTCCTGGGGCAGTGGTCATTTTGGACACCAAATAATTTGCAAAAGCAATTTCAATTTGAAAATAAGATACAGAGACAGTCTAGTCCACAAAAACAGATTTTTCAAATATAATACATTTTGGTGTACAGTGTATATTTTTGAGTATATATATTTTACAACAATTTATTTTAAAGGTATAAGGAAAATTTAAGATGCATCCTCTGTCTTATAAATAACTTTCTTGGGCCTTGTAGATAATCCACATGTGCGCAAAATGAATATTTGAGTTTTTCTGGCCTCTGGGTCCAAGTCTTATAACCCTAATTGTTAATTTTTATGTATATATATTCATAGTTGGACCAGGTCCAGAGGCCGTCCTGGCAGGCCCAGATCAAGGGAGAGAAGACCTGGTACCTTCTGCCTCCACCAGAGTGTGAAGATGTCTGCAACCCGCTGGAAGTCACAGTGAAAAAGGGAGATATAAGTAAGTGGATGTCGCAGAAAGAGAATGGTGACACAAATACTGTGATATGTTTTTGCTTTTGGTGCATTTATGTCAAATTTTGATTTATCACTGAATTTTGGTGCCAAATCCTCATTGTGTTTAAGTCATATTTCATTGCAATTGATCACATGCTTGTTCTCCAGAAATAAGGAGAGGTTTCAAAAGTTAATTTGTTTCCAACAATTGGGGTATACCACAGTTGGGGCTGATTTCAAAAAAGGCTTTTTAATGCACTGAAGACTTTAGTCCTATTGGTCCTATTGTTGAAACCAACTTTTGATGATAAGTTTTTATATAAAACTAGCCTCAGAACTTACAAACTTAAAGATGAAGCAGTCCATGTCTTTGAATCAATTTTTTCCTTTTTTTCTCAGTTCTGCTAGATACTAACCAGTGGTATCATTCTACATATATTCACGAGGGAGAGATGAGTATCACCATTGGTTCAGAGTACGATTAGACCCCAGTGGCTTGTAGGAGCACCCTGAGTTTGTGAGAAATTAGTAACATTTATGACAGACACAGGCTGAGGGGAGGAAACTGAAACTCAGGCTGGCTTTAAGAAATATTACAAAGACCAAGAGTGAAGTAGTGTGGAATTTTTCCCCTGAAGGACTAAAAGATAATGTGATCTCAAGATATTCATACATTCCATGCACTGCTTTTTTCAATTTAAAGTATAAATGGGGATTTATTCATTCAGCTGTTTAAATTTATGCAAGTGGAAATGATATACTTAAAGTGACTGTATCAGTATTGTTGATGCTTACTCAATTTTAAATATAATGCACAGTGTTATAGACATAAAGAGCTATTGCAATTATTTTTAAACTGCTTGCAACTTTTTTATTTGATGTTAAAAGAGTTACTTTATAGCTGAATGTTTTCTGCCTATAAGCTAGGCTGTGTGTATAATTATATTTTTATAGAGGACTATTAAATATATTATTACTTTATCTTTATTGTTTAGTTTTCATACCTGGAAAATCTCTTATCAAAGAAAAAATTTGCTTCCACTGTAGATAAACATTTCCATTATTTCTACAGCTGGAATGACATCTGATCCAGACTCCCCTATCAATATTTTGCCCTATGATAATGATGGGAAATAATTAATAGAAATTTATTTAAGAAACAGATACAAATTCATTTCCACAACAAAGTAAGTGGAGATAATATTTGTATCAGATGGGAGTCTTAAGTTGACATTTAGAATGGTGACCTGAAGTGTTCGTATCAGACACCACATCTTTTAATCTTAATCAAGGTCATGTTATTCTTTGTCAAAATCTATACTAATCACTCACAGACCCATTTTAAATACAATGCTGATAAAATAAAATAACTTTGTTTATTAAATTAGTCCATATATTGTATAATCATGGCAAACAAAATGCATGAAAACAGCAGTTTTTTGTAGTAGTAAAACAGTTGGGCAGGCAGTAAGCACTGACATAGAACTAGGTTTAACTTAAAATTAACTGTCAATGAGCAACAGATTCATGGTTTTATTGAAACACGAAGCTTTGTCAACTTCACAGGTCTACACACAGCCGAGGTTCTCTCCTCTTACTGAAGTGGTCAGAAAAAATGACCATAATAAGTTTTCTATACAGCTGGTTTTATGATGAAGTGGACGAGCGCTGATCCTATGGAAAAAGTAAATGAGATTAAAAAGCCGACATTATTCTGGAACTTGCCCATGCCTAAATTATCGGCATGGATATCCTTTTAGAAACACTCCTTTCAAAGTGACTGAATACAAATGCAATCAACAGCTGTAACATGTGACTACCAAAATCTCCTTTCTAAACTTGGTTGGATTAATCTCTGAATTTGCATAAATATTAAGATTTTCTCTAATTAAAAGATCCAAGCGTAAAGAGACATTTTCTATCCCATTGGTGTTTCTCTAGATGTGACGTGTCAGTGAGTGTCAGAACATGTCAGTCGTGTCAGAAGAACTGCCATTTTCCTAATACTGTGTCTTTGATTGCATCAACATACTGTGCAGGGACCCAGTAGATCCAGTACCGAGACGCCTCTGTGGGCCCTAGTTGAATGCCCTGTAAAAAAAAACACAAGTGGGTGCCTAATAAGTTGTAGACTCTACATATTTATGTGTATTTGTATTATATGTGTATTTAAGCATCACATCCCATTATTTTCACCTATTATGTAATTTCAAATATCACAATGAGCAAAAGGCCTCACATTTCGAGTTTTTTTCATGTTGGCAACCCTTTATTACATGTGTCACAGGCAAGATTGAAATTCAAATCAAATACATAACAATGTCAGTATCGATTCCAAAGTCAAATGACATGTTAGACAGCAGCTAAATTTAAAACATAAACCAAAATGTATTCTCTGAATTATAATACCAGCAGTCTTCTATGGTCAGTGGTGTAACAGTTTGTTAAATCTTAAATTGTTGTCAAAAAGATGAGACAGTTTCAAGACTGATATACTCCTCTTTAGCTACGTGTTTTTAATGACATCAAGAGCAATGATGATAAAATACTAGTATTATTATCATCATCAATACCTACCATTAGATGATATGCTTCATGACCCTCAATAGGTTCACTAACCACTGCTTTTATGGAATTCATTGGAATTTTATCTGTCCTCTCTGAAAAATTAATCTCAGTTTATGTATCAAAAAACAAACAGACAAAAAAGATTCTTCTCCAGCAACACCTATGAACATATCCTATTTAAAAAAAAACATCCCACTCCCTACCGCACATTTTCAATTAGTTAATTGGTTATTATTATACATGATAGGAATTTTAACAATGGGAAATAATAATTGTTGAAAATGTGATAGTTGTAGGATGATATTACCAGGACTAAATATATATATATATCCTACACACCTATACCTGTACAAATTAAAAACATACATGTACACAAAAATGCTCAAGTCTGCTTCACAGAAGAATTTTGGAGAGGAAGTTGGCCTTCACTTGTATACTACAATGTCTAATTCAACTCAGTGTTAATCAACAGTAGTCCAACTAGAAATAAATACTGCACCTGTTTTGTAAAAATAAAAATACATAGCTACTGTTTAAGATTATCGTTTTTTATAATATTACAGTGGACAACTGCAGAATTATCCAGAGTTGAAGCAGACCTAATTTCCATGTAAAAGCTAAGACCCTCCTTTCAGTTTGAAGCTCTTTTAATTCATGAAACAGGCCCCAGATACCAAAAATCCATTTTTTTTTTTTTTTGTCTTTCACCTTTTGTCCCTATCCAGAGCTGATCCAGTTCCAGTTTGAAGGTGAGTCGGACTTTGCCCCCCGCCTTGTTATACATTCCTGATACAGGGACTGTGGGTAGAGGCTCTTTTACCCCCTTAATACCTGGGGCAACATCATCTGGTTTTCCATATTTTTCTAAAACTTTTTTGTGCATCTGGAAATGAATGGTACTGATTTTTTTACCAATTAACACCAGGGTGACTTGTGCTATTTATATAAACTATTATCACATGGTTAATGTAGTGTAATTTCCACATAAGCCAAGCTGCTCAATAAAAATGCCAAACTAACTTCAATCTCCTTCAATCAAATTGTGATAGCATTTGTCAGATAAATGGAAGAGTGAGTCTTGTGAGAAAACTGCTGAAATACGATATGAACATTTGTCAAAAATTACAAATCAGCAATATTTACCTTTCTTATGAATAATTATTTTTCCTCATATCTATCATATACCTTTTGATTACATAGAGCTTCCTTTTGTGCTGTTGCCACAGCCTCTTCTTTCTGTATTTCTTTAGGATCTGGTGCATTGACAGCCATCACATCTTGGAGTTTGGATCCTACTACCATGAATTTTGCACCTTTTGTCACTTTCAAGTCTCTTAATGTTTGGTCATCTTTCACTAACCCTGAAAAGTGTATATTTTAAAAGTAAAAATGTACATTATTTCCTCTCATATATAGTACTGCCGAGTCTCTCTTTATTCATTCATTTATAAATCCATTTACAAGTGTGTTTGTATTTATCTGTCAGTTCACTTATTTATTTCTGTATAATTATACAAGTGCTAATAATAAAAGCATTCTTTTACTAACTTTAAACGATGAAAACTTCAAAATGTAGATTGCAATTTTGCGGAAACATTGCAGCAACTATTATATTGGTATATTTTTAACTCATCAGTACATACCTTTGTACATAACTTTTTGCATAGCTACTGGTACACCTGAAATACATGGTAAAGGGTTGTTTTATATCCAAGTTCTATGGACAAAGTTTCTGTAGTTTCAATTTGATAAATCTTAACAATGAGAGAGAGAGTGAGTTTTATTATGATGTAAGAATGATTATCAATTTTTATGCACTTACTTGTTAAAGTCTGTATATGAGTTTTGAGGTTTGAGACAGTCTCATCCATATCAAAAGATACATCATATTTTTGTTTATTATAAATAACTTTTATGTCCACCATTTCCTTTGGTTTTGTATCTGAAGTTGACTGTATATTGTTTTCTGAAATTTCACTGGAACTTCCTGGAAAATTATTATATTGATTAGAAATGTAACATACTAGCCACATAACAGAACTAATACAAATCAGGACTAAGCACAGATTTTCTACAACCTTAATTATGTTTTACCTTCACAAAAGAATATGAAAGTGTTTTTTGTAAATTGTAATTTATCATTTGAAAATTTTGGCTTACTCAAAAATAATCTTTACAAGATTTTCAGTAGAAAGAAAAAGAGAAAGAAAGAAATGCAACTTCATCTTTGACTTGAATAATTTACATATTCTCAGAGTCATGGTATTACCTGTTCTTGTGTCTTCTGACTCAGATTTTTCTTCAACTTTAGAATTTCCATCTGTATTTGACTTCTCTGTCTCAGAACTTGGTTCAATTTTATGATTCTGATTATCATTTTCATTTGTTTCCATTTCCAACTTTGGATCCATAGCTAGAATACAACAGAACAGAACAACTTAGGAGAGAAGTGGACATATGTAGGTTTTTGCCTTCATGTAAAATTGCCTTCTTAAGGGCAAAAGTTAAAACAAAATCATTCAAATGTTATGTCAGCATAAAACTAAATCTGTTTTAGTGAGATATTCTGACCTTTAAAATCATGGGTGGTAAAGGAGATAAGAATAACATGTGATTTGAACTTTTCAATGCAATTTCCTAACACATAGCCATAGTTCTAGTGTTCAAACCAAGCTAAACAATTAAAACACTAAAATCACCTGGTCAATCCTAATAATGATATATACATGTAGTTATATATGGCACGTTTGAAGTATGCTGCTTAGTTCACTATCAGACACAATAATATAAACGATGCATCTTGAAAGAAATGCGGCAGCAATGTCAACAAAAAGGTTAAATTGGCAATCTGCATACTATTACTTATTATTTTTAATTTTTTTATTATCATTCCACTGGGTAGGATATTGCGTTTCTTGTTAACCGTGTCCATGCTCGATTGTCTAAACTCCGCATCATATAATTTTGCAGGTGCCCCAATTTCTCACTCACCAAGGGAATGTTTCACTTTTACTTCGGATCAACGATCAATTTTTTAGTTTTTTCGATTGCTTACCTGAATCATCAGTAGCCATTTGTTAATATTGCAATCTTTTTGCGCAGAAGAGCACAATAGAGGTGGCAGCACTTGACTATGGGAAACCTTCGTAGACTGCTTTGTATCAAGATAACACAATGCCAACGTTAAATAATTCTTCGTCTGTAAAATATATTACTATCATTTATATCGTGTAACTCGTTTTTCAAATTTCAACTATTGTTTTACTTTAAAGCAATTTCGTCCAGATTTTCCATAATAGCTTTAACACCATTGCATCAGCTTAATCTTGTCTTGATAACTAGATCCGCTTCCCGTCAAGTGCTGCCCCTTGACCTGACGTTTTACATTCACGTTTATATAACTTCAACAGCAGTTTCTGACCCAGCAGGACAGAGTGATGATGTCGTTCTGTTCCTTATTTGGTGGTGAAATATACAGAGATAATTTTGATCATGGTGAGAAAAAATGACAGCCGGTAGCATTATGTTGAGGCACATTAATATTTTTATCATAACCGTTTTCATGTATTTTTTCAGCTTAAACCTAATGCCGGCTGCCTGTACCTATACGGTCTTCTTTCATATGTCAATTAAGTGTTCTAAAACTTATATTGAAATCACAATTAACTGATATTACATCATTAGGCAGCCTATTTAACACTCTTTAGTTTGAATAAGTACACTGTAATGAGCAGGGTTTTATATTATATTATACATTTGTGCTATGTTTGTACTTTCATTTTAAATAATAGTAACTTGGTGTTCAGAAATATTGTGCACTGTCATGATGACAGTCAGTTTTAAGTTCTGTTTTAGAACAGTGAATTTTCCACTTCCATCTGTGTTATCATGTATTTTGTGTTAACTCTTTATTTATTATATGATTTTCATTTGTAACGTTGTCAGTTGAAACATGATTTTAATAATTTTATAACACATTAAAGTTCATAGTAAGAGTGATGTTTCATTCTAGATTATTTCTATATGGTTGCCTGTCAATTTTTTTTCATCCTATCTGCACGTAAAATTGACCTTTTTTATGTAAGAACTAAATCATTTCACAGAAATATTTCACTTAGCTTTTGAAACATGGGCTCATTTTATATTTCCAGGGAAGTATGTTTGCTCACAATGTGGCTATGATCTTTTCCATAGCAACAGCAAATATGCCCATGCTACTCCTTGGCCAGCCTTCACACAGCCTATGAGGCCAGACAGCTTATCCAAACGAGAAGAATCACCCAGAGCATTAAAGGTATCCAGTCTATGTATTTAACCAATTTTCAGCACTTACAGACAAATCAACCTCAGAAAACTGCCGTTATGAAGAAATAATTTGCTAGTCTGAAGATAAAATTTACATGTAGCAGACAATCAAACTGAGGAAAATCTGAAAGACCAAAGAAAATGAGCACTGATATTTTCATTTTTGTATTAGTTCAATGCTTAATGTATGAATTGGTCGTCTAGGACATGTGTCGAATTTTGCATGCTGAGCATCAGACAAATAGCTGTGCACACATTTAATGTAGATTGAAGTACTTTTTTTTTTACATATATTGTAAAGATGATATTTATTTGTATATTTTTACTTTTCAGGTGTCCTGTGGGAAATGCGGCAATGGTTTGGGACACGAGTTCTTGGGTGACGGACCAAAGAAGGGACAGTCTAGATTCTGAATATTCAGTGCCTCCCTCAAGTTTATCCCTGCAAAGTGTGAGTTTTATTTCATATAAAAATATCGGTCAGTCATGAATGAGACAGGCTTTCGCATGCATACTCAGCTTGTGGCATGCAGCATGCAGATAGCCTAAATACATGCGATCTATTTGCTATCAAAATCAGTCAAAAAACAAACACAGTTTGTTGCTTTATAAGTTATACTTTATTTTTCGACAGAGTTGCAAACTTTTATGGGAAATATACTGTCTTAATGGTAAAATAAAATTGTTTCTTGCTTTCAGAAATGCAGAGAACGACGAGGGAGCTCAACTTCATCTTCATCTCCTGGACTCTGCTTCAAACAGTTATATCAGTGAATGCTCCAGCCAGCCTTTCAGCCCAGCTGTGTACAAAGGTCATCAACTCAAAGGATGTGAAGGCCAACTTTCTGTTTAAGGATCCTGTAAGAAACCATCCCAGGTCCTCAGAAGTTGAACATTTATTACAATTTCATGAAATTGTTTATTACAAGACATTGAGAATTAACTGTTTGAATCAGAGCCCTTCTATTCCCCGATTAAGGCGGAGACTGACTTCCTGTTGACCAGACTTCTTGTACCTGCGTTTTATGAAGGTGTCCAGCCAGAGTCCACCAACGGGACAGCTGGACACTAGATCCACTGCCAGATAACGAGAAGACTGGGACAGGTGTCTGCCATGTCCCTTCCACATCCCCCCCCCCCCCCCCCACAACTTCCCCTCAGGCTCAGCCCAGCACAATTTTCATTAAGGGTGATGAGCTAACTTTTCTGTCAGAATCATTTTACCCACATCATGTCACAAACTATTTACATCAATTTAGATGTGTAATTTCTTAAGCTAATTATATTTTAAATGTAATGGCTTAATGAAACGAGCTAGCATTAGTTTATAATAAGCACAGAAATACCTCTTCCAGTCTTGGAAATTTAGAAGCACATGTTACTTTACAACAATTTAAACTTTATTTCTTTTTTCAAAATATCTACAATTTCATATATTATATTTGATGATAAAAGGTGATGTTGACTATGCAGTGAATGCCATTAACAATGATCGCATGAGAAATTGTATTTGAGTAGTTACTTCCAGACTGCTACTAAGAAAAAACTTTAAGTTGCACAGGGTAAAGTTTTCCCATGAAAGATGTATCAACAAATTTTCTGGAGTAAAAGGTATATTTCTTTGACCAACCTTTGATCCGCCTTTTCTGGCTCTTACCATCTCTGGGAACAATCTGGGAAAACTAAGTCTAAGGTCACATGGCATTTCTCTGTTAAAAAATTATTTTAAAAAGCATTGCATGTTTCAGATATGTCAAATAAAAAGTGGTTTATGTATTTAACATATGTTTGAAATCTTGTACTTAATCACTAGAGCTTTGTCTGGCATAGATAAGATAATTTTAAATTAGCTGTAGATGCCTTTTGTTGGTATAAGGATCGTCAAGTCTCTGATATTAATTATCTCAAAGAGGAATTTTGCAAATGTTGACAATATATATATTTACAAAAAGAATATGCACTATAATTTTATGCATTTCATATTTCATTTGATCTTATAAGAAATGGTATTTATTTTTAAAAATCTGTCAGAGAATAGAGTTAAGAATAGAATAGAGAATTTAGCACATTTTCGCTATCAATATCACTTGTTGATCATGAACATAAATATTAGCATGCCAGGCCTGTAGGTGTCGAGTTTCAAAAGGGTTCTTTTTCTGATAATTTGAACCATCTTACCCATTAGTTTACACAAATGGTCAAATTTCGATTCAGAGTGTTTTTTTCCTTGTCAAAAAAGATCTTTTGAACCCTCGCTTGCCAACACCTCGATCTACTTGTACATTTCAAGAATGTCACTTTTTAAATATTTTTAACATTATTGTAGTTTTCCAAGTGAGAGTTGCATATTACTCAAGCATAATGTACAAGTTGAGAAAAAATATTTATTTAATTGATGAATTAATTTATTACTCATCTGTCACATTATTGCTTATAACTAGTATACTTTTAATAAATTATTGAATTTTACAATGATTGCAAGCATTTGTTATTCTCTTATATAAACATTGTGATGTGAAACTGACTTAAATGACACTTTTAAGTTGCTGAATAAACATCCTTACACCAATATACAATTGCCAGGAATTTCCATTACAGTAAGTTATTAAACAAAGTGGCAATAGGTCTCATTATGAAACCATTTCATTCTCTGTAAAGTTCATTATTTGCCTTTAATCAGTTCAACATGATGAGCTTCAAGTCACTATCAGCTAATGCCATAAGACAAACACAAAAGGGAGAAAAAAATAAACACTAGTGAAGCTGCCAGTTGTGCTAACTTTCACCTACATCTCTGTGTCCTCTTTCCACATTAGTCCTACCATTCTCACCATCCCTATTTGTATCATTTTGCCTTTTATTGGTCTCATCCAACTGAGGTAATAGTGTTTGTGTTTCTATAGGTCCCTGTGCTTGGACAAGTTTTTCTTCCTGCAGTATTTTGGCAGGGTCTTGCCCTGGCCTTGCTGTAACTGTTCTTTCCTGTGGAGTTTTTGCACTGTCTTGGTCTATCCAAGCCTCTGGTTGCTCACACCAAAGTTTATAGCCCTCCTTGAGAGGAAACCTCTTCAACAGCTTACACTCCACACACTTGACAATGACTCTCTTCAGCCCCTTTCCTATGTAAAGATATGTGCATTATTCCACAGTAATTGATTTTATCATGCTTTTAAACCAATAACAAAATGGATATATTAATGTTATCCTATTAGGTAATTTTGATAAAATTGTGAGTGCTTGAATTGCTAAGCTCTGAGTCACTGTTGCTAAGCGGCCAAGGTAAAAAAAATTAAATTGTTATTATTATGAAACATTCAAAAAATAAATGTATGCATCTGTATACAATCCATATATTTGAAAACTTCAAAATGCAAGACTGCAGGGACTGACACATTGATTGAAAAAATTACATTTTAATTATCATCACCTAGCAAAAAGAAAATCTATCAGTTGATGTAATATTGAGATGGTATATGCCAGGGATGCCTACCTCTCACTCTCACTGTGGCTGAGACTCCAGGCACCAACAGCATTGAACATCTCTTACACATGGTCCTCTTCAGGCTGGGGTCTCTTATCAAATAATAACAACTCATCTTTATATAATAAAAATATCATAAATAAATTATAATAATAACTTTAATAAGCAATAATAAGTTTGACAGACTCATTTATCCTCTAGTACTGTCCATGATTGAGATAAAACATACAAAGTAATCAGAAAATATCTGTGCAATTATAATTTCTTATAATTTAAATTCCCACTTACAATCTTAGCACTTTCCTCTTTGCTATATTCTTCAGAGAATGAGTGTAAAAGCGCACCATCTCCACATTGTCTGGGTTGGAGGCTAATGCATGGTGTGCTGCCTGAAATATAACATGGGGTGCAAAAATCAGTGCTTGAGCAATGAGACAAACCAAGATTACCAAAGCCATGCACGTCTTTTTGGCATGAAATCTGAAAAGCCATGTGTTAGTACTACTACATATTTTGCATCTATGGTGCGAAAAATGGCAAATATCAGTAAACCAAGACAAAACACAAGTTGTACACTTCTGAACAAAGACCGCTTAATGTACCGGAGCAACTTTTAATTTTGGGAACATTGTTGTTGATGTTGCTGAAAGGTATAGATACCTAGGTTTGTGGTTCACTGAACATTTCAATATGCATTTTACTGTATCAGAGCTAATGATGTCCACAAGCAGAGCATTATTTGCCCTACAGTCAAAGTACTTTCTCGTTGGTGGTATGTGCTTTGAGATGAACAATAAGTTATACAAGGCATAGATTGAACCTGTTATGTATGGGACCGCTGTTTGGGGTTTATTGTCTTTTCCTAAGCTAGACTCGTCACAAGCTCGAGCTGGAATATTCTTTCTCGGTGTGCGTAAACACACTACAAACACTGCAGTAAGAGGGGAGAGGGGCTGGACTTCAAACTTAACTAATCAACATAAGGAAGTCTTAAGATACTGGAATGAACTAAAGACATTGGATGAAACCAGACTAATAACAAAAATCCACAAATGGTCACTTTGTAGTGCCAGACGCAAGGTAGAATGGCCGGATAGCTCAGGCGGTAGAGCACTCGCCCTGTTAGCGAGCGGTACCGTATTTGATCCCTGGTCTGACAGGTGATTTTTACACTCTCCCAAAATTGCGCTACAATGGTGACAACGGTCGTATGAGATAGGGCTCGCACCTTTTGGCATTTGGGGGGAGGAGTGTACCAGTAGTGCCAGACGCAGGGTAGAACGGCCAGATAGCTCAGGCGGTAGAGCACTCGCCCTGTTAGCGAGAGGTCCTTTGTTAGATCCCTGGTCTGGTAGGTGATTTTTACACTCTCCCAAAAATGCGCTACAACTTTACCAACCTCACACCTGGGAAAGCAGTGTTGTCGCTTCTGTCTCAGACGGAACTACACACGGAGGAAGGCCTTGTCAAAATTTCTTTGACTAAAATAGCTTTAAAAACCGCGGATGAAAATTTATGGACAATTTAGATGTGGGACGACAAAAAGTACACAAATGGCAATGAACTTATTAGAACATATTAAACGTGAACAGAATCTTACTTGTACAATAACTGCCGGTACATGTACCTGAGCAGAGCACAACGATGGACTTTTGCTTCACTCCGCTGTGGAAGCGCATACCTCAAAGTGGAAACCGAAATATCATTTACCTGATACAAAAAGTTCATTCTCTGGAATGCATCTTTATTAGGTAAACTGCCCCCCTTCTTGTCTTGGCCCATATCTGTCCTCAGTCGACCTAAGGCTAGTCACATTTACACATTTCAAGGTCGTGTCAAGTTGTGATAAAGAGGCACTTTACGAGGTCAATCAAGATAAACCATTATAACAAGCATTTCAGTGACTTTTTATCTTGCTTGTATTTATTCTTCTGAATTATTTAAATGAATTGTCATAAAATGAAATATTCTGTGATTTATTGTGCTTTTATCCTTGGAAATTTGTTAACATTATTTTGTAAAATACTGCGGTAAATTTTGTATTTGGCTTTTCTTGTATTATCTTTTTACAAACTCGTTTACACAAGGGTTAGAGGTTGGCATAAGCAGCATTGCTGCCAATTTTTAATCACGTTTATACTATGTGATGAACGAACGTTGGGACTATACTTATCAGTCCTGGGTTAAATATTTATGTAATTTCCAACTTTTTAATGTGAAAGGTAACAAGGAATACAAATTCCATTGACAACACCGAAAATCGGGGAGCGCGTGACTGACAACGAAGTAAGGACAAGGCAAGACCGAGGTTGTGTAACTGTTTCTAAAAATTGAAAAATGTGATAATTATTTCATTCTCGTAAGACTCTAGGGGTTATGTATCACATACGGCTCTTATCATGTGGAAGCAGTATTTACATGCAGAATTTGAGACCGCTGTGTGTATGTTCCTGCTTACCTACAACTTCAGCAAACCCCCTGACCGTCAAGTCCAGTCTTTCCTCCAGAAAGGTAATTTATAATACTTAATTATTTACTTTTTAAACGGCTGATCGTTAATGTTTGAGGATTATATTGTGGATTTTTGTTCAAGGATTAAGCATTTTGAATATTTGACTGTGCACAATATGGATGGCTCCAGGTTATGCAAAGAGGTTTATTATTATTTTTTTTAATTTTAATTTTATTTATTTATTGCCATTTCTGAACCTCATGTACATGCATAAGTCAACCACTACAGTACTCATATTACCCCTTTATTTCTTATGGATTTTTTACCTTTCCTTTTGTAATAATTAAAAAGTAATCAATTTCAAAAAGGAACATTTTAGAAGACAATGTTATTTTTCTCTTCAGGTTTCCACAGCAACTAAAACTAAATTAGAGGGGAAGGCTATCAGGTCTGCCAAGCATGATGTCTCCAAAAAGCAAAGTGCCAAATACAGGAGAACTGTATCAAACCTTAATGTCCATAAAACAGATGAGCTTAGTGGTCCTCATGCTACACTACTTAGCGACAACAAGATATCCCTATTTATCAAAAAATCCAAACAGATAGTTGAACTTGATTTGGACAAATTAAAAGGTGACAAAATAACTTTGTTTAGACCCAAAGTAGAGGATGGAAAGTTAATGAACCTTGACCTGGCTGATGTGTTTGGGATCCTAGAGCAAGATGTGATGTTTAGAGAAAGTGAACCACCGCCGATAGAATCTGCAGATGAAGTGGTGTGGAAAGAGCAAAAAGTGCAGCTAGACCAATTGTTGGGATACTACTTAAAGCTCTCTAAGATTAGACTTACAAGTGAGTATTCTTAGCTCAATGAAGCAAGCATAGTGATGATAATAAACTTACACATATTTGTTTGTCCCTTTTTATGAATTTTTCATTTTTTCACGAATAGGCATTTTCACATGCCTAAAGCCCTGTGCTAGTTATATTTTCTGAATTTCCACAGCAACACATTTACATTACGAAAAAATGATGCTGATCTTGCTGTTAAATCCATTATGTAATATTGCATTATTCTCAAATTTGGTTCAATAACCATATTGATTTGATTAATATTCTTGTTTCAATATTTCTTTCAATAATTTTACCCCTGCATTTACAGTTACCATAGAAGTTTGGGGCATAGTGTCAAGACCTAAGATTTAAAAGATATAAATTGTCGTTTTTTTTTGTTTTTTTTTAAACTGTACTATGTCTACACCATTAAAGAATCTCTGTCCATTTGTCAGCCGTACCCTTTTCAATGCCAACTATATTGGTCAATATACCAAGGACTGATGTCTGAAAGCTTTGTCATTTCTGTTTATATACATGATTCTCATATCATTTCCATTATAGCCCTCATAGTCATAACCACAGTGGGAGGCTACTTTCTGGCCCCAGGACCCTTTGATCCAGGGACACTGTTTATGGTCACTGCTGGGACTGGACTTATGTCAGGGGCAGCAAATGCCATGAATCAGGTATAAATTATAGCTGGGATACAAAACTTATGTATTATAGAATAAGAGATAAATATTCAGTCATATAATTTTACTGAGTTTCTGTTATAGCAAATGATAAATACATTAACAACTTCCAACAGGTGTCTTGATCTAGATTTAGATTAAAGCTGGAATACAACACTGATGTATTTCAAAAAACAAATTTTTAAATGAAAGTGGAAGAATGTATTTGCAGGTTGTGGTTTCGCCATATTTATTAATAATACAGCTGCAGCCTTCATGAAAATATGTACTCATTACTACAAAATTACGCTTGTTCATTTAATAATTACCTGATGTGCCATAACCAAGATTCAAAATTCTCTATTTTCTTTATAATACACATATTTCACATAATTTATAAAATATTTTGTCATTCCAGTTTTTTGAGATACCATATGATTCTCAGATGAACAGAACAAAAAACAGAGTTCTTGTCAGAGGTCACCTGAGGTGAGTTGCTCTTATGTTTCACTCAGAAGAATATATTATGAAAGAGTAGT